CGCGAATTAATTAACCCTTTCATCACTTCGAGGGAAAAAATCGCGAATTAATTAATCAAACCGCGAATTAAACCGTGAATTAATTAACCCTTTCATCACTTCGAGGGAAAAACCGCGAATTCATTAATCAAACCGCGAATCAAACCGCGAATTAATCAACCCTTTCGTCACTTCAAGGGAAAAAATCGTGAATTAATTAATCAAACCGCGAATCAAACCGCGAATTAAACCGCGACTCCGCGAATCAAACCGCGAATTGAACCGCGACTCCGCGAATTAATCAACCACCCACCCACCCACTTTCATCTGACCCCCCTACTGGGCCCCAACGACCAGGTCGACGCCAAAAACGTTGTGCCAGAACCCGTATTACTACACTATTTATCTGCTGCTTCACTCATTTGAGCACCTCCGAATACTGGTGCTTATCCTTCGGGCGTACAATCAAAGCGTTGGGCCTCATGACTGGTGCCCTCTGCTTTTTTTTCTTCTTTTCCTTGCACTTTTCTGGCGGCTGCGCTTTCTGCCTTTTCTTTTTCGGCTTGACCTGCTCTCACTTTGATGAATTGGCAAGTCCGTCCTCCTTATTGTTCGGAGCATGAGCAGCCTTCATCTCATCTTTCTTCTTCTTGAGGTCCCTAGTATCCGGCGGTGGTGAATCTCGAGACTTTCTCTTCATCTTGGAAGCCTTGTTATCAGAGAGAGCAGATCTGTCACCCTCAAACTCCGAGTCCATCAAGGTGGCGGTGCCTTCAGTGAGCGTCCGCGTCCGCCCTACAAGAAAAGATGCCAGTGTGACCGGCAATCGCCTCACCTGCCCTGCATGTCCTCCTAGTTGCCTGAGCCGTTTGGCAGAGGTACTGATAGAGTTCACCATCTCTCGACAATGAGCGTTGATGCTCCTCCGATCGGACCTGATTTTTGGATATTAAAATATTCGTTTTATACGAAAGAAGGAAGAGTAGTTTGTCATTTCGATTATTGAATGATCACAGATACCAATAAAAAAATCAGATAAGGAATTAATTCTTGAATAAAATAATGATGATATGATAGCAATTTTCTAACTTTTGGACGGAATATGTCCTGTTAAACTTCCCAGTATGAAAGATATTTTCATCTTCTTTAGCCAAATATTCCGTAGTGTTGAAAGTACAGCGATTATTCATGTTTGAGACTTTCAATTTAACTCAATTTTTTTTATTATTTTTAGCTCGCAATTTTTTTGGTTTAAACAAGACTCCTTTGTGGAAACTTGCTCGTTTTTCTCTCATTGTAGAATATCTCTGATTTTTTGTATAATTAATTAAATTAATTTTGGGATGTTATCATTGTTTAGCCATACAGGAGGAATCTCAATGAGTTCTGGGACAGGCACCAGTTCACCAGAGACTGCAGAGTAAGTGGAGCTCCCTGGATTCTGAAGGTAACCAATCAGAACTAAAATCCAATTGATCTATGATTACGAACTAACCGCTCAACGTCTTATCAATGGCTTGTTTCTAGGGCATTGAAAGCATTCCAGATGGCGAATAAAGTGTAAATACTAGTGATGGAATTTCAATGTGAATAAAGTAACTGTAGAATACAACGAGTCTATCCACAACTTGGAACATATGAGCATTTTTTATTGATAAATGTGTTCAGACCTTAATTAAGATAGTTTGTACGAGATGTAGGAGATATCATCACATCACTGATAACGCATGGATAATCATTCGTTCGACATTCCTCCAGTAATTGAGAGATGAAATAGGTGATTAGAAGAATTATCCAACATCTTATCTCAGGGTTTTTGGAAATCTTTCCGGTGTATTTCTAATACAACATTGAAACTACGTAACAAGTTGTACTGAATGAGTGGTGAGATGTTATAGAAAACAATCATTATTATAATTATTTCATTGCTGATTGGGTTTGAAGATGTCAACAAATTTTCGCCAACAAAATATTGTTCGATTCTTATCAAGTTTCTCGTTCATATCTGATGTAAACATCCGATATACAAAATTTCCATTCGGAAGCAAAAATCATTGTTATCATTGTTATTTTATAGTATTTTGTCATTGAAGACGTTCAGCCAATTTTCACAAATAAAATTTTGTCATTGTCGAAGAAATCAGTTCCTTTCGGCCATGAACAAATATATAAAAGTCACTTTTCTGAAAATTCTAGAAAATCTGTTGCAAGAACTTGCACGAAATTGAGTAAACAAAATTTATCATGTATATTCATGTTTCGGCGGATAATAAACAGGAAGACCCAGGCAATAAAAGAAATATAAACGCAGCAGTCGGAGAAAAATCCGTGATTTTCACGAGAATTACGGATGAGATAAATGATTATACACGGAGAGGAAAGTTGAATAAAAATTACTGTAAAATCGTGGCAATTTTTACTACACGAAAGGTAATCAGAGCGAAATTGTAGCTCAATAAAAAATACTTTTTCCAAAGGATATCGCACTATTCATTCGATAAAAAGAACATACCTATGGATGTAAAAATACTGTTCCTTGTACAGTAAAATTTCCTACACCGTAGGAGATCTTTTTCTGGCTTCAATATGAAAGACATGGGGACGAACGAAGTGAAATTTTACCGTACCATGGTTGGTAAGAAATATAATTCTCCATCACACAAAAATTCCTCCACATACATGAATGATTACGCAATATTGCACTGAGAGAAATATCGACATAATATCACAAACTAATTTCTTGCGTCAAATATCTCTTAAGGATAAAACGCTTGGGATAAGTATTCCGCATAATGAGTCAGATCGTGCAAGATACCTGTGAAATTTTCATAATTTGAACACGAACACTTGGCGATCAAGTGTCAAGAAATCATTTATTTCGTGTCAAAAACTGAGGAAATTATTAAAAATACTAAAAGCTTCCATCCAGTGAATCATAGATCAGAGATTTTAATATTGAATGACTACAGAATTTATACAGGGGAGAACCTTGAGATATTTCTAAAATATAAACCGTCACTTGCTCTCAATCGCAATGAGTTTGAAGGAAAGTAATAACATCTGTTTCTTTTCTCAAACTTACTTTGTCTCTTCAGAAATATTATCCAACTTCCAGAAGAAGATATTTTTTCATTCTGTATCACTCCTTTTGCCCAAAGAGCCCCGATTTCTTATCTGAAACCTACCGTAAATTGATCGAATATGCATGCGATGCTCTCCACTCAAGAAATTATTTTTGTCATATATTATGTCGATGTTTCTTGCACTGTGAGTAATCATTCACATTAATGGGATAATTTTTGATAACATGAACGGTAATTTTTAGTTTCGGCACAAATTGCCCTCACATTTAGTAAATATTTCCTGGTCATTGGAGAAAAATTCACAATTCTTGCATTTTTTGCCTCGATAAAAGGTGGAAAAGATCTAGAAATCAATTCCGTTCCACGATTACATGACTTGTTTGCTGATTTTTCTTCAACTTTTTTCTGCAAGACATAAAGGCAAATAAAAATTATTTGACTTTATAAATTGGATGTCTTGAATCAAGTAAGTGAGTAGTCAAACGATACAGAAAATGAGTAATATTATTACTTTATAGTCGACTGCGGTTGAAAATGTTCAGGCGTATTTCAGAAATGAAATGCTTTCCTTTGTCAAGAAAATGAGTTCCCTTCAGCTACTGAAAGAATGCATGAAAGTCACTTTTCTAGCGACTTTCGGATATTGCCGGCAAGAACTTGCACAAAATTGAGTGAACAAAATTAATCTCAAACATCAGCGTTTATTTTTACATTCATAATAGACAGAGAGAAACAGAGAATATACAAAATAGTCTAAATGGCTAGAGAAAAATCCGGGGTTCTCAGGAAAATAACTGAAATATTCCAATCATTTAGCTCCACACTAGAGTGCGTTATTGATAGCCTTGAGGAGAATCGGAGAAAGGTAAGCAGTTATCTCATTGTGGTGCTCAGCAATAAACTTTGGTGCCTTTTCTGAGATGATTTGACTGACACGGCTCGAGGTGTTCTCATCGTGGTAAAGTCCGGTGGCCTTGAACTGTTCAGAAATTTTTTAAATCATGTTTTTAAGACGTTCAAAGTGATATTAATATTATAACTCATTGTATTACTCACATCAAGAGATCCCAGGGAGATAGTAAGTTTGACAGATTTGGCTTTCACTTTACTAAGACTAACAGAGATTACTGCGTGGACCTTCAAGTTTTTCACTATTGCCCTGCAGGAGAGAAAAATAAAAAAAACATTCAATCAAATTTAATATTCGAAGGTAATGTGCTGGTGATGAGTAAATGATTAACAATTTGAAGATATTTTCAAGTATCTATCGAACTGATGATTCTGACGGAAATATAAATAGAATTCCTTTGTCAGGAAATTGTATTATCTACGAAGAAACATCACAATTTTGTTAGAACCAATCAGTCCAGAGATATTTGGAAAATAATCTCTGCTCACTGGAATTCACCATCTCCATAGACATCATTGTTCATCACAACCCCCTTCACGGAATATTTCCCTGTAGCATTGATTTTTGGGAAAGTCAGCTGGACAGTTGCTTTCTTTGAAAAAATATTGATTTTGGAAATATCGACTTTGTAGGCAGAACATCAATCAACGTGTAGATCATTGGTCGTTCCATGAACCCTGCAATAGTTCCACAAATCAACGCATGGAAGTAACAAATGCGGACGATTACTAATCAATTAATATGAATGATTCGAATTTTCAAAGCAGGGCCAATGAAGGCATTAACCTTTGTCTCCGATGCAATGTTAAATTCGTATGCAAAATTCGTTGATAGTAAAATATCGTAAATTTCGAATAGGGACTGATGCTCGAGTATTAAACTTATTGGGCTACGGGGATAGAAAAACGAATAAATTCTCAAACAAGCCGTATTTGAACCCGTTAGTTAAGAATAACTAAAAAAGAAATTGTTTGATTTGAATTTGAATATCTCAAATTTTTATAAAAAAAAACTGGGCCAAGAAAAAGTTTTGTTTGATTTCTACTGGGAAGTCGAAGTTTTTGAAAAATACATAGAAATAAAAAAGGAAGCCAAGTCAGGAATTTTGAATAAATGTCAATAATGCACAATCAGGTTTCTATAAGAAAAATAGTTCTCAATGGAATAAGTCTTCTAAAAAAATTCTCCATGAAATGCAAAATCAGTAGGAGCAGGACCAACGTCCTTGGCGTGGATCAAAGGATGGAGGAGTAGATTGATACAGACAGTGAGTTGAAAAACTCCGCGCCAAGAACGTTGGTCCTGCTCCTACTGATTTTTCATTTCATGGAGAATTTTTTTAGAATACCTATTACATTGAGAACTATTTTTCTTATAGAAACCTGATTGTGCACTTTTACCATTTATTCAAAATTCTTGGCTTGGCTTCCTTGTTTATTTCTATGTATTTTTCAAAAATTTCGATTTCCCAGTAGGAATCAAAAAAAACTTTTTCTTGGCCCAGTTTTTTTACAAAACCATTTATTTTTGTGTTTTTAGGCAGATTTCATTATTTTTTTCAAAATAAGCAAGGACTTTTTACATCCGGTGAAATTTGTTCTTTTCAATTCAATTTAACTCATTCATTTTTCGTAAGATAGAACATTTTTTGAATTAACAATTGAAGGGAAATAAATAGTTCTACTCCAGATTTATTGTCTCCACCGAATTTCAATTTTTAATCATCTATTATGTAGATTCCTATGTGGATTGTATTTCTTGGAGAGATGAATTGAATTCCGTATAGGAATAGTCAAACGAAATGTTCACAAAGAATTCTTTTTGAGAACATCTGTTTTTGTTTTTTGTTTTTTTTTTAATATTAGGGAAACATTGGTTGAATGGATTCTTCTGACTTCTTGTTTCAATATTTATAACCAAGGAACAAATTTATCGATTGAGCTCAGTCTAATTATTACAAAGGGGCTGAGAGGACGTCTTTGGGCGTCGTCAGCGTGCTGGCCCTACACGGAGAAAATAAAATAGTAAATATTACGATGTCAGAATCCGGACATAGTAAGCACTACCATGGACATGATAATGGCTACCATGGACATGGTAATAGCTACCATGGACATGGTAAGTTCCTCAATGGTAAAAGTTACTNTTTAACTTAATCCTAATTTCTCCCATGATTATTTTTATAATCAATAATTCAAAGAGATATTCATATTTAAATTATTTTAGTACATTAAAGAGCATATGTGCAACAATTTAAACCCAATGTTTTGGAACATATTTATTGCCATTCCCAGAAGTTGCTACGTATGATAAAGAACAAAATTTGATGCCGTGATAGGTCAACGTAGACCATCTCGTCTGATTCATATCAATTTGATATGCTTGAAAATGGTTATTAAGAAAAATATTCTTCCAGTTGGTGAATTACGAGAATAACGAGGTGTTGGTCATCAGATAATACAATTTTTACCAAATGTAATTGAGGCCCGGCCTCTGTAGGCATTATCAAAACGACATCCGTCGTAATGTCATGTCCTATGTATGAACAATTTCTGATGATTTTGATATTTGAAGGCCTGAAAACATCTGAAATTATCAATTTTTTCAGAATCTTAAGGGGAAACCGTACTGAAATTTCAAAATCG